ATAATATAAACATCCACCTTTTGAGGTGTAATAGCACATCATTGCATCAAAATAAACTTAACTATTTTTTGTGGATTTTATTGTTTCTCTTTATGTTTGATTAAGAGGAAGAGAACCTTATCTAATTTGGATCAAACAAGTTAGCCAATAGTTTCACTTGAGATTTGATGAAATTCACCTAGTTTGGCCAAGTGAATTCCAGAATATAGGTTCTTAAATGAGTCTTGAAGCTTTTGATTTTAATTTTAAAATTGAAAGATGTAATAACTTATTTTGGACAAGTAAACGAAATCTGGAATTTGGGTTTAGATAGGAAAGTCGCCTATTTGATTGGGTCAAGTAAGTGAACTTTGGCACTAAGGCTAAGAAGGAAAAATAAACACCCATTTGATTGAGTCAAGCAAGCGAGCCAATGGTTTTGAGGCTAAAAGAAAAAGATCCATTTAAATTGGGTTTCTAAATTAGGAGATGTATCAATTCACTCAATTTGGGGTTCAAGCAAATGAATATGAATGCTTCAATAACTTTTGGAGTTAAAGAAATTTGACGCATCATATAGCTTTCGAGACAAGTGATATGTACGTCAAGTGATTTTGTGTCACATAATATAGTTAAGCTGATTTTAAATCGGTTTCAAACAAACGCAAGAGGATTGAATATTTTAGCTTCTAACTTGTGAGTTGAAACCAAAGAGGAAATACTATAACTTGGAAGTTTAAGGATTAAACTCATTTGCTCGATTTGGGTTAAACAAATGAAAGATGTTAGAAATAGTCATATGCTAAGGATTGAAATCATTTATTTACTTTGATCAGATATTTTGCTAAACTTTTTAATGAAAATTGTGAAAATAAGATTGACTATAGTAACCTTAGCACCCTAAATGAAAATAAAGTTTTTTGTTTTTATCGGCGTATTAATAAAACCGAAGTTAGAGAGGCTTTAAAGAAAATGAAGGGTGGAAAAGCTGTTGGACCTGATGATATTCCAATAGAGGTGTGGAAATGCTTAGGAGATGAAGGAATTTCTTGGCTTACCAAACTTTTTAATACTATTTTGAAGACTAAAAAGATGCTAGATGAGTGGAGAATGAGTGTGTTAATTCCTATTTTTAAGAATAAAGGCAATGCACAAGATTGTGTGAATTGTAGAGGAATTAAGTTAATGTGTCATACTTTAAAACTATGGGAGCGAGTTATGGAGCATAGGTTGCGGCGTTATACTAATATTTCTCAAAATCAATTTGGATTCATGCCGGGTAGGTCGACTATGGAAGCCATACATTTATTAAGAGGTTTGATGGAGAAATATAGAGAAAATAAGGAGGATCTACATATGATATTTATTGATTTAGAAAAAGCATATGATAAAGTTCCAAGAGAAGTGCTATGGAGAGTTCTTGAAATGAAAGGAGTTAATAATGCTTATATTCAAATCATTAAAGATATGTATGTAGGAGCTATTACTTGTGTTCAAACACAAGGTGGTTTGACCAAGTATTTCCCTATTTCGGTTGGGTTACATCAAGGATCAGCCTTAAGCCCATATCTTTTTGCTTTAGTCATGGATGTTCTCACTAGACATTTGCAAGAGGATGTACCTTGGTGTATGCTTTTTGCTGATGATATTCTTCTTGTTGATAAGACTAGAGAGGGAGTTGAAAGTAAACTTGAATTATGGAGGTCAACCTTAGAGTCTATGGATGAGTGGCTTGACCCTTAGAGATATGATACAAAATGAGCATATACGTGAAAAGGTTGGAGTAGCTCCAGTAGAAGATAAGATTAGAGAGAGTCGCTTTAGATGGTTTGGTCACATAAAACTGCGGCCTTCTAATGACCCGGTTAGGAGGTAGAGGTATTAGATTTGACTTATTTTAAGAAAGGTAGAGGCAGACCTAAAAAGACTTGGTTAGAAAATATTATGAATGACCTTTCTTTATTAGATTTAAACAAAAATTTGACCTTTAATTTGACACAATGGAGAAAAAGGATTCATGTAGCCGACCCCACGTAGTGGGATAAAGGCTTGATGTTGTTGTTGTTGAGGTCAAACAAATGAAAGAAAATTAAAGATTTTAGCTCTAGAATAAGTTTACCTCAACTTCATTTTCTTTTAGGAGTCATTCAGGAGCCTCCATGTGGGACTTAGAGATATTGTTATAATAAAGATCCTGAATGAGAGGAGGGTCTAGATTGAATTTTGTTCAATTCAAACCAATGGAAACTTAAGGCATGTCTAAAATTGCTTCGCTCCTAGAAGGGTCCTTAATAATTACTAGGTTCTTTGAAACTCATTAAAAGATCTTGGGGATCTTTAAATTGAGTTATTAAGAACACTAAGCAAGAAGAATTCTTTTGAGGAAGTTAAATTTGGGTTTGACCTCAACAACTCAGGTTACTTTAAATCTTAAAGGCAAGATAAGATTCCCAAATGGATTCAGAAAAAAATAGAATATTACCTGATTAATTTGAGTCAATCAAGTGAAGAAAACTAGGATGTGGGTCCTTGGAAAAAGAGGATCACTTACTTGCTTTTGGGCAATCAAAGATATTTTAAAAACTTAGTATTTGGTCTTAAGTAGTGCTAATGCTTTTTTGGATTCATTAGAAGGCTGTAGGGCTTTCATATGAGGTTTTAGAAAACACAAAGAAAGAAAAATCCATTTAGAGAATGGTCAAATCTGGTTCGATCCATAAAAATCTCAAATTATGTCAAGATTTGTTCACGCGAAAGAGTGGTTTCCAAATGGATTGAAATGATGAGATGCTACTTGATTGATTGAGTTAACCAAGTAGCAAAAGCTAGGATTTGGGTCCTATGCAAAGGTTTGGAGCTTGGATTGTCAGCGTTCTCTTGAGCACTTTAGAGTTGATGTGAAAACCGTTATGTGAGTCCAAGAAGGCATCAAACAAGAGGAACATAGATAGGATGAGACTAGAGTTGAATTTACTTAAGCTTGAGTCAAAGTAACCGTAAGACTAACTCCATGAAAGCTCTAAGATTCATGAGATGAATTTTTCAGAGCTTTAGGAAGCTTCAGACAATATCCATGAAAGTACGCTTCTATTTCTTTTAAATGTTTTGGATTCATTAAAGATATGATGGCCCATCTATGACTTGGAAAATCAAATGAGATAAACTTGGCACAATCTAATGATTATCAAAAACACGTAGGAAGTGATTTTACTTTATTTCAGAAGTTGACAGGATATTTTCTAATTAGTTAAAAAAATAGAATTTTCCTTCCTCATTTTTATTATGAGATCAAGTTAGGTTAATTTTGTTTAAACTAAGGATTTTGCACTTCAATTATGAGCTTTTCTAAATCAAGGTAATTTTTCATTTGATTAATTAACCTATTTCTTAAAAATTTTGTAATTGGATGTAATTGATCTCCAAGCAATATGAACTTTGAATCTTGGACTCTTGAACATCTAAAGAGCATTTCATATATATTTTGTAGAATCAAATAGATGCATTTAATGATTTAAAAAAAGAAGGAAAATTGAAGACTCTAGCAAATAGAGGGTTCATTTTTTTTTAATTTTTAATTTAGATTGATTTTGTTATTATCTACATTGAGTAGGAATCAAATACAACCTGTGTTGAATTGAACAAGCGCATTGATTTTGACACAATTACCAACTTGATGGAGTTGATGATTAAGGGAAAAAAAGAGATTTCAGTGGCCCTTTCTACACTTCTAGCTATATGAAAATGAAGCTAAATTGCCAAATGAGGAAAAAGAAGTTCCTCTTGTTCTAATTTGCCCAAATTAGTTGATCGCGCCACCCTTCTCTTGCGTGACCCCAACCCGAGAGCCATAACAAAAACCTCTCATCTATTCTCCCAATGGAATGCCCCCTTTTTTCATGACTCCAACCTAAGAGCCAAAAAAAACTTCCTTGATTGTTTCTTCTTTAATCCCTGCAGATACAATCAAAAATGGGAAGAAAAAGTCAATTTTTCCCCATCATGTCGTTGCAAGGAAACGGCTTGGATGTGACTTTCCTTGCCCTTTGCAGCTTGCAAACCTCCGGGACAAGCAAAAAATTGTGGAAAAGGAATAAGAAGCACAACTTGCTTGGCTATTACTCTTAGTCTCCCTTGTACGTGCGGCTCTACCTCCTAATGCGAATGAATCGACATTTAAATGCTCAATTGAGTGTGAGCTAGCTCAACCAAGCTAAATTAGGTCAATTTGGATTGATAAGGTTCAATTTGACTCAAATTGGTCTTCAGGTGAACTGAATCAGTAGATTCAATTAAATTAAGTTGATTTGTTCGCTAAAATCAAAATTTACTCATTTGTGTCAGATTCGACTTTACTCAATTGAGCAAATTCAACTCACTTTGACTCAATTGAGTCAATTAAGTTCAATTTGGCTAATTCATGTCAGCTCTATCCATCTTCCACACATTGTTATTGCCATTTTATCATGAATTCAGAATTGGGCTTGGCTGAAGATGGATTTGTGTCAAATCAATATTTATTTATAAAACGTGTCAATCTTTTTGGAAACCTTTGGAATCCTTAATTCAGAAGTTAGATTTGATTAATGGAGGCCATATTAGAATAATGTTGTGTTAACTGCCATAATATACGATTGAAAGTGGTTTGTATCATCCTTCATTGACAAGATTGTGATGATCCAGGACAGGGGTCTTATTTTTATGTATCATCTTATGATAGTGCATCAGTTCTTTTCTATGGTTAATTGGAAATCAGATATTTTCGTAAACTAGGTTATGCTTGTCATCTTTATATATAACTTGGTTTGTAGATGTTCTTGAATTAATCTCTTTCCAACCATCTTCTTTTTGGTTGGCAAGATAGAGTGCTTCCTTTTTTCACGGGCGATAACAGTATAAATAATTAATGTTATGTTCTTAGTGATGATAGTCTCCATTAACGATCGCCGAATTACACACTCAATTACCTTTGTCTTAGTATCATGAAATTTATGAGTTGATTGTAATGGAGCTGCTGTTCACAGGTATTGGTCATAGGAGGTGGTGATGGTGGTGTTCTGCGGGAAATTTGTAGGCATCGATCCGTGGAGCACATTGATATATGTGAAATAGATGAGCTTGTCATCACTGTAACTGCATTAATATATGTATTTACCTTTTTATTCCTTAATATTGTTGCTTTTGTATGGATGATATGTTACCTTCTCATAGGTTTGCAAGGAATTTTTCCCTGCACTTTCCATTGGTTTTGAGGACCCTCGTGTTCATCTTCACGTTGGTGATGGTATGCTGAAGAAGTTGGATTCTAAGATTGATCTTACTTGTTTAAATCCTCTTGATTTCAAATTCATTTTTGTTTCAGATATCAGATACTGATATATTAAAGTTTCTACCTTGCAGCTGTTGATTTTCTGAGAAATGCATGTGAAGGGATGTATGATGTAGTAATTGTAGATTCTTCTGACCCTATAGGTATTAATGAATCGCTTTTCCTATTCCCATTTTCATTTGGTTACTTGTTCTGGAAACAACTTCTGCGAATTGGAGGCTGAGATAAGTCTCTTTAATATGCTTTTCAAAGAATATTATGCGAGCAGGATGGATAGAAAAGATGGAGGATTGTTCATTGTTTGGTAAATAGGTAGCTTTGAAAAATTGAGTCATTTTTGTATGGTGGCAAGCACCTATTGCATTTTATGTTTAATGCAAACTAGCCGTGATTTAGCTTTCCACAAGTTATTTTATCTTTAGGATATTAAAAAAATAGAAGGGCAATAGCATATGCCATGTGTCTTAGAAACTAGGGTTGTAATTCTCCTCCATCAATAGTGAAATATGTTACAGCGGCAATCCAACGTAGCCATCAATTTAGTGAATCTATATAAAATTATCATGTTTTGTGTATTGATCTTTTTTGTTTTATGGTCTTTCGTTCTCTTTATTTGTATTGGTTTTGCCTATTTGTCAACAACATCTTCATGATTATTAAATTTTTTTACCATAATGACAGAGCTTTAAGGATAGTTCTGAAGAAGAATCTAGTTATTTTCCATATTCATGGAAAAGGATAGCGCTCGACTTAAAGTGAATTTTTCACTGACCAGACCTGTTGCTGTAATTTATTTCAAAAATATGTTATGCACGTTACTATGGTTAGGCTAGAAATGTTAAAAAGTTCCAATCTCAATCTCTGAAGTTACGAGATGAATTGTTGGACCAAATTTGAATTGACTATGTGATGCGGGACTGCAGCATCTTTGCGGGTTTGTTCTTATTGATTGCTGCTCTATTGCTTTTCACATTATTTTGCGGTATTCTTTTTGCTGTTGTTTGGGTTCTTTACACGTTTACTTGCATCCCTATTTGATTTTCGTGAATTATGGTAGGGTGTTTTGAGAAGATGTGATGTGAAACGATGCAAGAATTGCTTATAGGAAATTAATAACTTGTGAACTTTGCGTAGCTAATTAAAAACGAATGCGTTCCAAGATAGATCGTAAGAAAATTTCCACGGAAGAAGTACGTAATGTCAATTGATTACAATTAAAAGCGACACGAGACTAACAAAATCATTTCAACAAATAAATAATAAGGCAAATGGCTCTTAACAAAAATCCACGTTTTAAGATCTAAATCATTCACCTCGGAGTCCCTCACATGCACTCTTGATGTCGCTCGGCTTAGCGGAAGAGGATTGCACACAAACTTAAGGATACCACTAATAAACAAGTGATGTCGAGGGGACTAGTCGTCGGGGAAGGAGCTGGAGTTGGAGGCGCGGGTGGTCGTCCGATGAGAACCCACGGTGTTCGGGGTTGTTGGAGTTCGATCATCTTGGCGAGGCAGTAGATAATTCGTTTGACGTATCTTTCCACCGTTTCGTCGTAGGAGGTAATTAGGGAGGTTTAATGAGGGGCTATTGATGAAATTGGAGAGAGAAATTATGAGGGAGAGGGGGTCCGGCCATGTAGAGAGGAGAGAGAGGGGTTTTGTGATTAATATGTGGGCCTCAGGGAAGTTAATGTAATTTTAATCAAATCTGAATTTAATTTCATATTTGATTCAAATAATAAGAAACTTCCTAATGGGACTTAACTCTCTTAGGAAGGAGTTTTGAAATTCAAAATAAATTGATTGCCAACAAGGATTCCCTCCTAAATCACATAGAGATAATTTAGGAAAGTATTTATGACAGAATTTGAATTTCAAAATTCGAATTTGGAGGACTATGGTGGGTGGGCTGGCTGGTGGAACAAGTAGAGGGGGAGAGGGGAGGACTGACCGGCGGCTGGACGAGTGGTCGACGGTTTGGGGCGGCGGGCCAGTGAAGCTGGGCTCGGTTTTGTGAGGGGAAGGGGACGGGGTGTAGGAGGCCTGTGGGTAGGTGGCTAGGAGATGAAATGGGGAGAGAGGGGAAAGAAGAAAAAGAAAAGAAGATCGGATCCGCGAACCTTGGATTCCTCCAAAGGTTGATGGGTACTGCTTTCATCCATTAAAGGTCTCTCCTCTCATGAACTCACTAAGAGATCAAACAAGTAGCATCAAAATTTTCATTAACAATTCATCATCCCATTACAATGCATGAGACCTCCTTTAAATAGGCCAAGATAATGCAAAGCTAGAAGACACAAATGCCCTCAGGGCTACACAAGTGGCTCAGTACCCACAGGGGCAAACTAGGAAAATAAAATGTGAGAATAAATAACATTCAAAATAAATCAGAAATAAAGGCTCTGGATTGTAGCGGTCGATTTGCGTCTCCGACGATGGTACACGTGGCGAAATCTGATGTCCTCATCAAGATGGGCTTCTGTTCATGGCTAGGAAGCATGGACACAGACACAAGAACATAGCATAACTCTAAAAAGTAGGATATAACATGCCATAGGCATGGTATATTCATAATTGTTAATATAAAATATGTAATTTCTAGTATTTCTTTTGCATTTTCCCTATGAAGTATAATATATATGTGTATGCTTAATAAAAGGAAAGCAAATATTATTGATAATGTTTTCTGATGTCAATTGTCATTTCTTGACAACATTCCAACATTTACCTTCATTAATCATTTCTAGTTGTTACATATTTTGCCAATCTAAAGATTGCCTATATAATGCCAAAAAATAAATATTAATATTCTCTTTAAAATAATCAAATAAAATAAGAATAAATATAACATTAGTGTGGATTCAATTAATGTATCCCCACTAATGTCCCATAACTTACTCTCTCCTTGAATATATTTTGGGCTCCTCTTATTAAATAAAAGATGAAAATCAGCTTACACATATACTAAATCCTTATCCCATTAAGAATTCTGAATTTAATGATGAGTTTGTTTTTTTTTTTTGGGTAAATATGATGAGTTTGAATATGACTAATATTTTACAAAGCCGTTAATTTGATAATTATTTTGCTCGACATATTTGTAGGGCCTGCTCAGGAGCTTGTTGAAAAGCCATTTTTTCAAACAATTGCAAAGGCTTTGAGGCCTGGTGGCGTCCTCTGCAATCAAGCAGAAAGTATGTGGCTTCATACACATCTTATTCAAGATATGCTTTCCATTTGTCGCGAAGTATTCAAGGGCTCTGTGCATTATGCTTGGACAAGTGTTCCTACATATCCCAGGTATTTTTTATTCTTTAGTTAATGTACCTTTGGTTTACCTATTTGATGTTAATTTAATTGAAAATTATCGTTTATGAGATTGAGAATGTCAAGCAATCCTCAATGGAGAATTTTTTTTTTTCATCTTATCATTTGTATAATTTAGCTCCAGGTTCTTGATGCTCCTGATTTGACTGGGAAAGCCTACTTCAAGCTGGGCTTAGGTAGACTTTTGCAGTTTCTATTTCCTCCTAAGCTCTTTGCATTTCATTAGATTTGAATTTTTCTCCATCAGTATCACCGAGGATGCGTTCAAGTTCTGCTAGGAAATGCTTATGATTGTATTTAATGTTACCCTTATAACGGGTAATGTTGTCATAGAGGGAATTTCATTTTTGACAGTAAGGTAGCGAGGTGTTCCTTTAAGGAAAATGATGATTTAGGATAGTCAAGAATTTATGATTTCCTGTTTGATCATGCAAATATCCACCAAATATTAATTTTTTTGTCGCACATTATTGAGTGTTTGTGTTAATTATATGCATTTTATTCATCACGTTACCTTGTTTTTAATGCAGCGGTGTCATTGGATTCTTGTTGTGCTCAACGGATGGTCCACATGTTGACTTCTTGAATCCAGTAAACCCAATTGAGAAGCAGGAAGCAGCAGTAAAGCTCCAAAGCGAACTCAGATTCTATAACTCAGAGGTAGCTAAATTATGAAATCTAAATCTTAATTTGTAGTTAATACTTAATAGTTCAGAGTGTAGTTAAGTCTTTCGACATATAAAAAGCCTTCTATGTTTAATCTTGCACTGTTGTTTATGCCTCTTAAGATCTGGGTTGTTCATGAGGAAGTTTATGTCCCATGCTTGTTTCTGATGGAGGAGTCTCTGTGTTTTTGTTTTTTTAATTACCTTGACAGATGCACAAGGCCTCTTTTGCATTGCCATCATTTGTATTGAGGGAGCTGAGCACAACACTGAATGATTTGCCAGATGGGGTAAAGGTACTGTGATCACCTTTATTTTTCCGCTGTTTGCCACATGGAGAATGATAAAATGTTGAAAATTTTATATCTAAGTAATTCATATATTATTTAATTTCACGGTTTATATAGTTGGGCAATGAATTTGGACAATTTTTTGGTCTCTAACTAGTGAGAAATTATTCTGTGCGGAGGTCGGGCGCAGAACGTCATCCGGATATCAATCAGAATACGTTACGTCAGCAGTACCGAACCGCGGTACCGAGCGAAGGGGTGACATGGCGTATTCTGGTTGGTCTACCAATGGCGTTCTACGCACAAAATAATATCTCGTTTGAGACAGCTTTCTTACTGCTTTTTAAAATAACTTTATAGCATACAAATTTTAAATTTTGTATTGAAGTTAGATGCTGATTGATGCATTTGCAGATAGGAGAGAAGCCGACTGATCGCCATGTGAGGAGAAAATTTTCAGATAGCCTGAATGCAAACTGAATATGCAACGATTTGGTAAGCGGCTTTTGATCACCATCTTTAGTAGAACCAATGTAACAAATAAGGGCATGCATTCTATCTTCCATACATTTATCAAAACAATGTTACTTATCATTATAAAAATTGATGTTACTCATTTATATCCCTTTTTTTTACTTATGTTTTTCTTTCTTCTTATGTTTTTTTTTTTTTTTTTTTTTTTTTTTTTTTTTTTTTTTTTTTTTTTTTTGTGAGTGGGAAAAAGTGTTAAAGAAGTGGATGGAACAATGATTTGAATTTGAAAATTAATTTTTAAAGAAATTATAATAGAATTATATTTAAGAAGAGCATTGAAATGATTGCATAAATATTTTCAAAAGCCATCTAAGGCTTCGGTTGAACAATTTTCTTATTATTTTTTAAAATAATTTTTTTCAAAATGAAGCTTAAATATGATGTTGATATATATTATTTGTAGATGAAATTTTGATATCACTAATAAATAAAAATATTAAAAGATAAGAGACATAATATTGGTGGAATAAAGGTAAATGGCACATATATTTATGTGCAGTTATAAGGAGAACTTTCACACATGTATTTAAATATATAATATCCAAATTTTACTATTTAATTATATAATATTAAATTAGTAAAACAAAGAAATTTTTTATAGGTACAGAAATAAATATAAAATTTTGGGTATTAGATCTTTAATTATTGTGAATAATAGATTCAATGGTTAGTAACATCAATTTCTGTTGGAATATAGAATGTTCTTCAAGTTTGGTACATTTATTTTTTGGGCATACTATACAAATAGACGTGAATTATATATAAAGACAACATAAAAAAAAAAAAATACTTTACAAATATGTTTATAGGGGGAACTTTTATTTGATCCAGTGAACGTACATAGAGCTACGTTCGGCCGACGCTGAGATCACGCCACGTAGCAGGCACAAAACGAGAAATACTCATCAAATACCGAGCAATACCAACAATAACGAGAAATATCATTATGTGAAGATAAAATACCGAGCAATACCAAAAAATATCGAGTTTTCATAGAGCGGTATTTCACGTTATTGCCAAGCAATACCGAGCAAATACTGAGCAAAAATCGAATAACTTAGTGATGACCGATCGATGACCGAGCGTAGAGCTACGTCCGGTCAGAGGACCTAATAAAATGTTATGAAGCCACTAAAGCGTGTTTAATATGACATGCACGTGGCATTTAAAAGAAATTATTAGAGAGATTTGCAAAATCAACTATTGGGGTCAAAATAATAATTAGAATGGTGAAGATTCTAATCTAAAATGTCAAATTGAAATGAGTTTGATTGTTAATTCTGAATCTAAGAAAATTGTCATTTAAAAAATTTTAGGGGTAAATTTCAAAACCTAACAAATTGAAGGTAAAATAGAAATCCACATTAGGTCATTTGATTTGTTGCCCACTATTTGTTGCCCACTAAAACAGCATTTCATCTTTTGATTAAAGGCGTATTTCGTTGCCTATAAAAGAATGTAGTATAAAGAATTGAGTGTAAAATAAATATTTTGAAATTGTTTAGATGAGTTTAAAAAGAATATATGAGATTATTTTTATTTATTTAATTTGAAAAAAAAAAGAATTCAATGTAAATACAAAAAAAGTAGCGGTCGGTGGTCGACCCGACGGTGGTGGTTGGTCAAGCTGAGGGCCGAAGACTGGCGGCTTGTGGCGTGCGATCAGGGCACCAACAATTGCAACAAATTTATGGTGTATTTAGAACTCACCCAAAATAAGGAATTTCAAATACATAAAAAATGAACTAAACGATGAATTTCAAATATATTAAAATTTGACACTGCATTTATTTTACTTCAAACAAAACACTAATATTCTTAAAACCTGCATTTGAAATACTTTATACTCCTTTTGCATACAACCAAACAACCCTTAATAATTGGATAAGAAAATATAATAATGAATATACATATATTATGATAAGTTCATTTCATCAACAGCCCACTGCAATATTAATGATCATTGTTCTTACCAGTAAGCTTTTAGTAAAAAATAAATCTAATGAACTTATAATAAATTCAAAAATGTTTTAAATTCACAACAAATCTGCAATGATTTCTTTTGAAATTCTATTAAGAGATCCCTTGATTAGATTTTTTTTTTTTTTGGTTATGAAGGATGTTGAGAGTCCACTATAACAAAAAGACTACATTGCCTTCTAAATTCCAATCTAACAGCAGCTTTTTGGGATAAAATTTCTCGATAGATAACTCGATCCCTTAGCAATCCAGTTGGAAGCACACTAACCAAGTCGCAACAGGCATTAATGGCTTCACTTTTTTAATATAACCAAAAAAAAAAAAAAAAAAAACTTCGAAAGATTAATGGCTTAATGCTAAGAAATGTTAAAGATGTGTCAGCAATAAACTCTTATTAAAGGGCTAACACAAATGCAATTAGGGTAGAGCTAGAGTTGACTATGTTGGGTTTAGGTTGGACTAAGTTGGCTAAGTCACCAAAGTCAAGGGTTAGGAGTAGGGGTATAAATGAGTCGAACTGAGCTCAAGTTAAGCATAACTCGAGCTCGTCGGCAATTTGCGAGCTCCAGTAGAGCTCAAAGGGAGTGCTCGAGCCTAGCTTGCGAAAATAAAGGCTGGCTCATGAGGTTGCTATTGCTGCAGTAAGGCATGTGATCCGTGCCGGAGGAGAAGAAGAAAGGTGCTGCAGCTTTTTCTTTGGATAGGATGACTTGAAAGAAAGCATGCTATTTGAATTATGAAGACTGAATCTTATTTGTCTTAAGGGTATGACAACACCTTTTATATATATACATATATATATTTTTAAGAAAAGGCTACAACTTTATGTACTTCTTTTCTGAGAAAAGACAGCTTTTGTTACTATATACTTTTTTTAATTTCCAAAAAAAAACCTATATACTTTTTTGGGGGCAAACAGTTAAAGATTATTATTATTATTTTTAAGTTTCTAATAACTAATACTAGCCAGCTCCCAAGCTCATGAGTCGAGCCTCGTAACTAGAGCTCAAGGTTCGATAAGCTCGGCTCGCGAACTCGTTATCGAGTCGAGTTTGAGCCGGTTCATAAGCCAGCTTGGCTCATTTACACCCCTAATTACAAGTCTGATTGGGCTTATCAGCAAGCTGACATATAGTTAATTGACCTATTGTGGATCAATTGGTCTTATGACTAAGTGGATTAGTAGGGTCATAAGATGCTAATCAAGGATCCTAATGTGTTCTACGGGTCAGCCTCATAAGGTGTTAAGTAATAGGTCTTCTAGTCTTGAATCAAATTTAGAAGGTTTGAGATAGGTCTGAAGCTAACCTTTCCCAAATAAAAAAAGATCAATATTGCTCAAGAAATCATATATTAAAACAAGTTAGTATCGATTACCAAGAAATAAATATCTTCAAATCTTTTGTTGGCTCAATGATTCAAAGAGTTGTTGGAGGTGTTGCAAATGGTCTCTCAAAGCTCAATCATACAAGAAGAGTCATCTCAAGTGTACCCCCACAACGCTTCTTATGTTGGTAGTTTCAATCACATTAGCAATTGTAGGCCAAAAATCACCCAAAAACCTTACAATATTGTGCTCCTCTTTTTCCAAATATCATATTTCAACATGAGCTGTCCAATTCTTCCATCAAAAACCCCTTTTATTGAAAAAATATGAAGTTAGATGAAAATGAGAATGTAAATATCTATGTTGTAATTCTTTCTTCATCTTCTCCCATGCATGTCTTTTCCATTATCTACAATAATCTGCTTTCTTTATATTCTCTCACTAAATAGAAAGGTTTTTTTTTCAAACGATTGGCTCTTTTGTAATTAAAGGTACACTCGATGGTTCTCGAGTAATGAATGAATTCATTTGAATTCAAATTGCCTTTAAAATCTAGGATATATACCTAGTCTAAAAAATCATCTATCTAGCTATCATAGTCAAAATCTAGGAAATAAACCGTCATCATGCGACCATCACAGCCTAGCTATCAAAGTTCATTCCTTATCCGACCACTATTATCCGACCATCATTCTTTACAGCATCATCTATTTACTATCTACATACCTTTACTATTCTCATAATCTCTAATATAAACTACATGAGATGAAATAAGTATTCACATTTTTGTAATCCTATCTTGTCTAGTTGATGAGAAGAACGGATTCATGTAAGTTCAAATACATTGTGGATTATTTCAATTAGATCAAGCCCAATAAAATTTTCCCTTTCTCAAATTTTCACATAAATATTCTAATGTCCCATGCATTCTTTTCTTTTATTTGTGTATGATTAATTATACTAAACCTTATACATGAAAAATGCTTCAATGTTATTTTGTAAATTTTATAACTTAAACCAATTGATTTTACTAAACCTTAAATCAAACTGATTAAATAGATCAAATGCACATCCTGAATGTAAAAAAAATTTTTATTTTTTTTTTTTTTTTTTTTTGGTTATGAAGGATGTTGAGAGTCTACTATAAAAAAGACTACATTGCCTTCTAAATTCCAATCTAACAGCAGCTTTTTGAGATAAAATTTATCGATAGATAACTCGATCCCTTAGCAATCCAATTAGAAGCACACTAACCAAGTCGCAACAAGTATTAATGGCTTCACTTATTTAATATAACAACAACAAAAAAAAAAAACACTTCGAAAGATTAATAGCTTAATGTTAGGAAATGTTAAAGATTTAGGGTCAGCAATAAACTCTTATTAAAAGGCTAACAAATGCAATTAGGGTAGAGCTAGAGTTGACTATGTTGGGTTTAGGTTGGACTAAGTTGACTTAGTCACCTAAGTCAAAGGTTAATTTGAGAGTTATGCCTAACTCGAGCTCGGCTCGTCGGCCAATTTGTGAGGTCGAGTCAAGCTCAAAGGTAGCGCTCGAGCCCAGCTTGTGAAAATAAAGGCTGGCTCGCGAGATTGCTATTGCTAAGGCATGTGATCCGTGTCAGAGAAGAAGAAGAAGAAAGGTGCTGCACCTTTTTCTTTGGATAGGATGGCTTGAAAGAAAGCATGCTAGAGGAATTATGAAGATTGAATCTTATTTGTCTTGAGGGTATGACAACACCTTTTATATATATATGCTCAATAAGTTCAGCTCGCGAGCTCGTTATCGAGTTGAGTTTGAGCCGACTCATGAGCTCGATTCATGAGTCATCTCGGCTCATTTACACCTCTAATTAGGAGTCTGATTGGGCTTATCATCAAGCTAACATATAGTAAATTGACCAATTGCGGATCGATTGGGTTTGCAACCAAGTGGGTTTAGCCAATTAGTTGGGGCACAAGATGCTAATCAAGGATCCTAATGTATTTTAGGGCTCAGCCTCATAAGGTGTTAAGTAGAAGTCTTCTAGTAAATATCTATGATGTAATTCTTTCTTCATCTTCTCCCATGCATGTCTTTTCCCTTATCAACAATAATATGCTTTCTTTATATTCTCTCACTAAATAGACGGTTTTTTTTTTTTTCAACGATTGGCTCTTTTGTAATTAAAGGTACACTCGATGGTTCTCGAGTAATGAATGAATTCATTTGAATTCAAATTGCCTTTAAAATCTAGGATATATACCTTGTCTAAAAAATCATCTATCTGGCAATCATAGTCAAAATCTAGGATATAAACCATCATCATGTGACCATCGCAGCCTAGCTATCAAAGTTCATTTCTTATCATTCAAATGGCATTATCCGACCACTATTATCCGACCATCATTCTTTACGGCATCATCTATTTACTATCTTCATACCTTTACTATTCTCATAATCTCTAATATAAACTAGATGAGACGAAATAAGTACTCACATTTTTTTTACTAAAAAACTGCTTTAAAAATAGCAAGCTGTTCCAAACGAAATCTAAATCCACAAACATTTCTTACCTCACTCAGCTTCTTTAAACCAGCTACAGAAACATGATTTTCTTCCCCTTACATTAGAAAATGAAAATTTTCTTTGGTAATGTTAATCAAATTTGTCGACGGAAAGTATATTCCCATTCAAATGTCGGTATTTGGCTAACAAAATTAAACTGCTTAACGGTAGAATATATCCTATCTATTTGAAATAGTCAAGGACTGACCAGGTAGAGCTTGCCAAAGACATGAAGAACAGCAACGACAGCGATGAATCCAATGCTCATGATAAGAACGGTATGGGGAGACATCTTTCTCCCTGCAGTATCATCTGAGTAAAACTGGAGCATTCTGCTAGCTCCATTGCCACCATTGCTGCTCCCAGCAGCATTGCCACCACCAGACCTCCTCCGCCGCAAACTTGCAGCTGCTGCTGCACCGCCTCTTGGCAACACTGCCCCACTCGATGCCATTTTATTTTATTCTGAAATGTAAATAGCAAAGAAGATCGTGAATGGAAGTAGGAGTGTAAACAAGTCGAGTTTGAGCGAATTTAAGAACTATTTACCCCAGCGCATAAAGTAAATAAATAAAAAAAAATTTGTTTGCAGGGAAGTCATAAATATTAATCTGTGTCATCATATTTGAAAGTATGGCTTGTAATGTGGTTTAACTTCATGTAGATATTGTTAAAGATATTTTTTACAACTTTATTAAGTTTTCGTGTAGAAGGGCAGTGCAAATTGCTAAAAGATCAATGAAGAATTCTTCTAAGTGATTACAAAATTAAAATATTCAAAAAACTCATATTCGGAATAGTTAGTAGTAGCAAAAAGCTTAAAATTGCTAGGACATTAACCTTTATTCAATGGGCATAATTTCTTTCAAACAAAGCAGCAACTTTTCTTATGTTATCAATTGCGTGAGCAATCTGTAATTAGTTAATTATGGAAGAAAATTTTGATTTCATATAATACAAGAATTCACGAAAATTGAGAAACTTCTTAATGGAGAAAAGCTTATAACCTATCATATTTTTCTTCAAGCAGGACAACTGCATCTACGAACCCAAATATATATAACCACAGTAATTTTAGAGGAAGAAAACTCATCAACTTTCACAATAGTACCCATTGTCTACCCATCAAAGAGCCAAAATCATCACTATAAAAATATAATATACATATATATATATGGTTGGCTGTAATATTACAAAAATCCACGGGAATTTTCAGAACAAAAGTTCCATCACCCATGCCACTTTCATAGTACTATATAGAAAGATTGTAACTAGTTGTGCCCAAATGCCAAACATTACATATTATTCTAGCTACAAAATCTTCGTTTTAATTAAACTTCGTATTCGAAAGCATATGAAAAATGTTAAAGGTCATAAATGATAACTTAAAAATTTGAATCCTATGCCATAAGGGAATAAATAATACGAAAGCTTAGTAACCAAAAGCATGTGTACCACCCACAACTGGTTTAAATTCTATTCCTCATTCAGTTACGTCTTATTTCTTAATGCCTCCAGCATTCCATGAAATATAGTTCTTCAATGTTATTCATTAATGCTATTATTATTTCAGAAAAACATTATCGACTCGAGTTGATAATGCTCAATTACAGATTAGAAAATTTTATAGCAAGCTCCTGAATCATTATCACAGCGCAGTTAACTATCCAACTTAAACTGAAAAAAAAAGCCATTCTCACACGAAATTCTTTGATCTTAAAAGAGATGCACACTCAACTCGTCCTTTTGATAGCGAAAATTTACATTGCAGCTCCAATTTTTTGGCAAAACTTCAGCAAGCTCTCAATTGAAAAATTCATCATAATTCAACCATCCGCCAAAACTTAGAAGAAACCACATTCTTATTGAATCAACTTTCCATAAATAGTTCTCCAAAGAAGGAAATTCATTGGCCCAAAAGCTTCGTCTTTCTACAGTTTGACGAAGCTGCCAATTTGCACAACCAAGTCATAAAAAAATGACTTCCACTGTTCCTCAGCTAGACTATAAAAATTCAATGAATTTGAATCAACGATGAAATTTATCAAACCAACTTTCTAAAGCATATTAAATAGCTACAATATTCAAATGTTTTCCTAAGACATTCTCCTACAACTAGACGGATCATTCAAAAACCAATCCATAATAAAGACCCAAAGATTAATAATTTTCTTTGGAGGGTAGGGACAGAGAGTCTTTCCTTCTGAAGAACAAATAATATAATGAGCAGATGCATTCTATAACTAATTTTCAAAAAATTTGTAGAATTTAATGAGCTTACAAAATTTGATGAGTCATGTTAGGAGTAAAGAAGTTCCGGAACACTGAGTGTATCCAACAAATATTCAGGAAAATTCAATGAGCCTCGTTATGATTGTATAAATTCAACTAGTGTACGAAATTCAGTCTATATCGTTAAACTATGGATAACTAAGAGAAATATTTCGAATCAAAATTTGGATGGCCTACATATAAACTATAAATAACTGCTCAATCAGTCCATTTGGGGAGATTTTACAAATTCTCAAGACCACATGACTCCTCAAAGAATTCCTAAGAGCAATCATCATCGCATCCAAAAATGTGCTGCAACCTTTGCTTGCATCACAACAATCACAGGTAAGATCTATGCCAACATTTTCATTTGTGCTGCAACTGATGCTTGCCTCTACTCATGTTGTGGCCACAACCCACATGACTGGAGGTCTGGAGCAAAAATCACCACCGATAAAACTTCCATTGAAGCGGTCTTCTGCAAGTCTTGAGCCACAATTATCTTCATGCCTGTCAATCACTATCCAAACTAAAAGTCTAAAATTGACAACAATGACATTGACAGCTTATAATTCGTCATTATATTGATGTATTATCGAATTTTTCAGATGATAATCCATTGTAATCATTTTATTACTAATTAAAGCTGTTCAACAAGGCAACGCCCACATAATTTTTTTCTCCTTAGATTTTCCATATAAAAAAATTCTCATCATTCTCTAATTTATTCAACCACATAGGTGCGTAATTGAAAGAAACTAAGAAAATAAAAAAAAAACCCACCACTTTTCAAAACATCTTTTTTAATCTAAAAGCAAGAAAATGTGCACTAAAATATGGTTTCAATCTACTAGAAACCACATAAGTCCTCTTAAAATATCTCAAATGTAAGAAGACTGCTGATTTTATCTAAAAATTGAAAGGAAAAAAAAAGTTTAAGGAATTGTACTCCTCATACGCTTGGGTTAGATTATTCAAATCATTGTAAAATCTAAACTAAGTTCAATAAACCATTGATTGTGAAACGACTTGAATTTCCTAGGGCCTAAAATTCTTCATACTTCAAGTTGCTTAGGGGTTGTTCGGTAGCCGATCTATCCCCAATTTACATAGGGTTTAGTGTAAATCATGCTAAACAGTGTCAAAGTCCATGTTAAATCCAAGAGAAAAGGACCAAAATGATCCACTGACTTTTTATGAAGAACCAAAATGGTCTGCAACTATATTAAAACTATTTTGATCCCTCAAGTCTTTAGAAAAGAATCAAAATAATTCAATGATGGGACTATTTTGATTCCTCTTTAAAGAGTTAAGGGACCAAAAAAGTCCTTTAATGTAGTTGAAGATTATTTTTGCCTTTCATAAAAAGTTAAGGGGGCATTTTGGTCTTATTCTCTTAAATCCTCCAAACTCTTAAATCCCATTTCTCCCACATTTCATAGTAAATCCCAAATTTACTAAACGTTGCTTGGTTTGAAGTAAATTAGGTGTTAAGTTTTTTTTTTTTTGTACGGGTTTTGAAAACTTGATGTTTTGTTGGGAAAAAAAAAGGAATGTAGTGCAAAGTATTATTTTTTCAATGTAAAGTAATCTAATTCATTTTTGATGAAAAATAAATTTAGTCAATTTTGACTAAATTCCTTTTTCACCGAAAATAAGATGTCTTATTGCCGCCTCTTTATTGCTTTTTCTTAGAGGGTTTTAGATATACTCAAATAGGGTCGAGGGGGAAAACAAGGGTTTCAATTAATTTGTTATATACATATTTTTTTAAAATTAATTCAGATAATTAATGTTAATTAATTTGAAAGATATTTAAGAAAACTGATATTATTTAAACTAATATAATTTTATTTAATTTGACTAAACACAAATCATTGTTTAATTAGCTTAGGAATTACTAATGTTTAGTTGAGATGTTATCCTAATCGAAACACTATTTATATTGATTATGAGCATGGGACATATAAAATGTTTTAATTTAATCATAAATAATAATTATTAAAATCCTATTTTAGCTTAGAGACTTGAATCCTGAAATAAATAGCCAACCTATTCATTAGAATTTAACTGAACTTCACCTTTGTTATGCCTAATAGTTGAGTCGCTCATTGCCAAATCTAATTGAATCACCTAAAAAAAAGCCCTAATAAGGCCCTCAATATTTAGCTACTGAACTCACCTAATGACTCATGAAGTCTCTTGTTCATCTAGGATGTTTGCCAAAGGAGCTCAGTTACTCATCACAAATACTAATCACCCAACTTGGGATTCTTGCTTGAAAAATTCTATAAGGTTACCCACTTTCAATCTAAAAATTGCTCCGAATTTTCGGCTGGTGATTGATATAAGTCAGGTTCTCTAACAAACTTAACTTAATTCTTTGTAGGACTATAAATACTGCCATTTGGGGCAGATGAGACATGAAAAATGGCAAATAAATTCCTCTTCTTGTATCTTGTTTGCCTTTTCTTTTATTGGGAGCTTAAGCAAGCTAGAATTGCTCGATTTGGTACCTAGGATTCTATCATTGATGCTCTTGTTGCAAGTTTCCTTCAGATACTCATCTTTGTTCAAGACTTATGAAGAGCGTTTAAAAGATCGACACCAGTTTTAATTTAGGAAGAGCGTTTAAAAGATCGACACCAGTTTTAACTACCAATTTCGCCGCAATATCATGGCCTTGGCCAGATTCTAGGCTAGAAACGCGAATTTGCAGTTTTTGCGAAGGGCTCAGCACAAAAGATCGCGCTCTGTCTCTGAAAAATTGATACCGGAAGATCGCACGCTGGTTTCATTCTATGGATCTGCCGTGACAACGCGCCAGACTCGAAGTCGCGATACATCTTCGATATCCACCTTGTCCTCATTTTTCTGCCGTTCTCCCGATATCGCCATCCATTTTCCAAGATATTACCCAGAAACCTATCATCAAACTTGGTCATCACCAGGAGGTCACTGATCGAACGCATCATGCGATCTTGATATGTTTCCACAGAGTACATGGGATCCAACAGAAACCATAACCTAGCCGCACCTAACATCAAATTCTAGTTTCATGGTTTCTCGATATGCAATCTTAGAGGTTAATCTTCAAACGAAACCCTCGATCCTAATTCGAAAAGGGATGACAAGATCGCAATGATGGAAAAAAAAACCGACAGAATAGATAAACACGAAAAATAAATAATGTAAATTCCAGGCCAAGCAATAGAGATCAAAGATTCTTCCCGAACATACATACCTTCTCCGATCACCCGCAGCAACAGCTTTCCGAGAGGGATTGGAGAAGACGAAAGCTTCTCGGCCTGCAATTTAAATGCTTGGGACTCTAATTCGCTACAGACGTTATCGTTACCGTGCGTTTCGTTTGAGCAACTGAGATTAAGCCACGACACAATCAAATTTACTTTTTTTTATTTTTATTATTTTTTGTTGTGGTTGGGAGTAGAAGTGTAAACGAGTCCAGTCGAGCTCGAGTCAGAAGTGTTCGAGCTCGACTTGCTTGTCAAATGCTGAGCTTAAACTCAAACTCGAGTTGAGCTCGAACTCAACTCACAACACATAAACGAACTGTCGAGCTGTTCGATTTGGTTTCCCGCCCTGCATTCGTAGTTTTCCACCCGGTTTTTTGACCAACGACAGTGCAGACATCCGATTTGAGGTCCTCGTCCGCACTCGCAGTGGCGAAACTTTGCTTTTTCTTGTGAATAAAAAAAAGTTGATTCATTTTTTTTCTATTTTCACTTGTATAAAACAATTAACTCTAACAACTTCTCTTGGGAACGTACTTCAACTAGAGTAATTAGGATCATTTTTTAAAAGGATCATGATTTAAAAATGTATTAGTAGAAGGATCATAATAATAAATAAATTTTTAAAAGGATCATACATCTTATTATGATCCTTTTTAAATTTATTTATTATTATGATCCTTTTAAAAATTAATTTGAGTTTGAGCTTTCTTCAAAAACTCAATTCCTGTTCACTTGTATGATCATTTTAAGTACGTTCCCAAGAGAAGTTGTATATTTCTATCCTAGGAATATGGCCATATAATGATATAATCACCATGTTTTTTTGAATTCTATAGGATAGGAAGGAGAGCAAATTGATGACTATAATTGAGATAACCTTTTCATTAAATATTGCTATACATGAGAAAGCCAATCTTAAGATGATCTCCTTGCAAAAAGGAAGTTGGGTTGTTGTTCAATCACAAGCCAGCGACGATTAAAAACTAGTTTTCAAATCTAGGGTTTATTTTTTTATTTAATATGTATTTATTATGGTTTTTTTAAGTTTCTAGGTCAATTATGTACATCAATCTAGGGTTCACTAATTGATAGACTAAATGACCTATAAATCTAGTAAAATTTGAAACACAAGTTCACCACAATATTTGTTTGAAACCCACCAAAATTAAAGCAATCAAGGTCTTCCTAGGTTTCAAAATTGTTCCACAAAGGTAAACATATCAATAGCTTTGGAGATTTAATTAGGAAAATCAGCTGCTTTATTAGGGAAAAAATAGTTGCATTCCATACCTTTCACTAATATACAAAAACAACAAAAAAAATCAAAACCTAATTCTAACTTGTGTATGAGTTATGTTCTAAAGGTTCAAGTAAAAATTGACCCTAAACTTTAAAATTCAATTCACTAAAATTTAGAGACTATCTAAATTTAAGAATTTAGGTAATTAATCCAATTCTAAGTTGTTAATTAGACAAAGCCGGCAGCTTAATTCACAAGCCCGATTAAAAACTCATTTATAAAATTCATCATGTTAAAAAAATTTAATATCTTTTATTAATTTTATTAAATATTTAAAATATTATTAAAATGTTACTAAAAATTTAAATTAATTAAAATTTAATTAAATATTAAAAATATAAGATAAAATTTGCCTAATTTAATCATTAATAATGATGCTCTTTAAAATTTGCCCGAGTAATTACTGACTTACAGCAACTTCTTCGAAATTGTTGCATATTTATATTTAATAAAAATTGAAAACTGTTGCATTGTAGCTGTAGCTTAAATTTTTTTTGGCGCACAGCAGCTGCAGTTTAATTTTTTTTAACTAACTACATCCCTTTATTTTTCAAAGATTTAAATTTAATAAAATAGTAATTACTTAATTTTAAAAAAGCTTAAAATTTATTCGAGCCGGCTCACGAGCTCACGAGCCGAGCCTCATCAAGCTCGAATTTGAGCTCGTTTGCTAAACTAGCTCGACTCGTGAGCTCATAAAGGAGTTGAGCTCGAGCTAGCTCGGCTCACTTACACCCCTAATTGGAGGGAGGTATATTTACATAAATAGCACTCAAAACTTTTTAATTTACACATCTCACATCTAAACTTCATTATTTATATATATAACACACTAATTAATATTGTTAATACCTTCTCCTTAAGATTTCTCATCAAATCTCACCACTGTTATCCTTCCATGTTTTATGTGATAGCTCTACGTCCAGACTCTAATTAATTGTTCAATTGTTATCGATAGGATTAGCGACGAAAAAGGCGATAGGATTGAGGATGACAAGGCAGACATGGACGAGAGAGGTGTCAGGGTTTAGGGATTTATGAAGGGTGTTTTATATACAATACAAATTTCATCTAGCACATAAAAAATAGAGAAAAAAAATGAATCATGATTTTTTAATCAAAATAAATTTCAAAATTATTTAATCGACTTTAAATTGAATTTAAATTATAATGAGTTTTATTTATCACAAATTAGTAGCTTTTACACTTAGAGACGAAGACAGAATGCGAAACAATATATATATATGAAAAAGGTTGAAATAATTTTAATGACAGATAAGATCATAAAGAGTCATTTTTTTTATCATATAAAATGACAACTTCTACTGATCCTATTAGGAAGTAATTATTGTGTCCGGACACCGAATATGTCCAGAGACCAATAACAAAACGCCATGTCACTTGGGTGTTCGATACTAAGCACTTGGTATCACTCAATTCTTTGTCCGGATTTCCGATTTTTTGTCCGGACATTTTTTTTAACTTTTCCCCTATTAGGAGAGTAGATCTTAAAAAAGATAGATATGGACTTAAAAAGACTTATTTAATATTTTTAATAAATTTAAATGAAAATTTAACTCTTAATAATACAATAAAAAAATTATATAACCAACCCCATATAATTTTTATTCCCCGGCAAATATAACTACGTTATGAAATGATTTATCATTCCCAGGCAATTGAAAGTGTAATTCTCAATATTAGCTTCCTTTGGTATATATTAATAAAACAAGACTAATATAAATGTTAATGAAGAAGTTCACAACACAGTTCTCAAGTAATAATTCCATAAATTTAAGTTGATTTTGTTTGGTTTGAATTCAACAGTGAGACAGTGGCAGGCGGGCGCGGTGCAGCGGCTAGCAGGTCAGCTGGATTTCCGGGTCATTCTCGGGTTCCCGGGTCAACCCGAACCCAACCCGGTTTTGCAAATGGGTCAATTTTCAGGACCCGAACCATACCCACTTCGGGTTCGGGTCAACCCAAAATTTTTGGGTCGGGTTCGGGTCGGGTCCAATGTTGACAGCTCTCTCCATAGGAATAATCAAACCAATCTACAAATCTATTTGAAAAGAGTATAATAAAACCATTTCACAAAGAAAAATTTTATTCACATATGTACAACTAGAACAAAAGACAGGAGTTCCTTTAGTTGCTTGTAAATAAATAAAAAAAACATATAACAATATCACCTTGAGACCAATGCTATGAACTATATATATTTGGGCGGCTTTATAAAGAGTAGAGGGATCAAAATGATACTTTAATAAAATTAAGAATCATTATGATCCTTCGTAAAGAGTCAATGGATCATTTTGATCCTTTTCTCGAATGTTTTGTTGTGGTCTATTTACGTAGCAGTGAGAAGAATAAGAGCGTCTTGTAAAGCAAGCATCAGGTTCTGGTGCGAGATTGTTTGGAGTGAGGAGGCCTAACCACAGGAGCTTCAGAATGATGAGATGAAGTTGATAAAGGTTCGAAGTAGGTGTTCCCAACAAACCAGTAAAGGACCCATTTGAGATTGCAAAGCATGTATCGAAGAGCCTTCGTCCAGTTCTCCTGCTTGTTGAAGCTCTGTGTTATGGTGTAAGTCTCCACTTTGTCGTTCTCAATCCTGTATACACAAAAACAAAAGAATTTTTGTAATGAAGGCATGTACCAAAGAGCACCTGGTAGCATCACTATCACAGTGGAGAGGGGGAGAGAGAGAGAGACAATGAGAAATATTGAAATAAATTCAAAAATAAAATATAAATAAGTCATATTTAGGATGGCCTCTCTTCCTCATGATGCAGCTCGTATGTCAAGTACAAATTGGTATGCATGAACGTGCAAAAGGGAAAATTATTCTGTGGAGTCCGAATGTAGAGGATCTTCCGGATTATTGGACGCACTGCATACTCTCTGTTTACGCTCTGCTTACACTCGGCGTATTTATAGATATGCAGCAAATAAGCAGCAAATCCTCACAACTAATTATTTGCTGCTTACTGCGTATATAAAAATACGCAGAGCGTAGGCAGAGATTACGCATAGGATACGCAGTAATCTGGAAGATCCTCTACGTTCGGACTCCGCACATAATAATTTCCTGCGCAAAAGAGGAGAGACTTGTGTGGCGTTGGACAGGCTAAAACCAAAGCAAGCAAAAGAGAGAACAACTAGAGTTTCCTCTACTTGATTGTTTAAGGTCAGTGTAAAACCCCTGGTTTCTGGAGGTGTGTCCTAGATGATAGTTTGTAGTGCCCGCTAGATGCCCTCTACACTATACATAAGGATGCGAGGCCAGGGAACGCTTTCAAAAACCAACATAAAGATTGCATTTCGTAACAAAAAGGAAATCACATAGCTGAACTATTGGAGTTATCAATTTTCTTTGAATTATATCAAAGATCAGAATCAATATCTATTTGTATTGATTATGGAGATATTTACAATAATATTCAAAATAAGATGATTTGATGCATTCTTTTAGCAGATGATGATTTTACTAAAACAGATATTTGCAGATGTAAGTGATGCAATTTTAGAACATAGATGATTTAAAACAAAGAACTATTAAATGATATGCAATTTTATCGAATGTGATTTTAATCAACTAATAGTATTAGAAGATAAAATAATACTAAGTTGTGATATATTTAAGCATATTGAACTATTATACAGAAGAATTGTGATATAAAAGGACATTACATCTAAAGTTAAGAGTCAAATCAAGCCTTTATCTCACATGTGGGGTCGGCTACATGAATCTTATTTTTCCATTGTGTCATGTTAAGAGTCAAATTTTTATTTAAATCTAATAAAGAAATGTCATTTCTAATATTTTTAGCAGTCTTTTTATGTCTACCTATAACTTTTTTAACATAAGCCAAATTTAATGCATCTACTCTCCTAACCGGATCATCGGACGGTCACCGTTTTATTTGACCAAACCATCTAAGGCGGCTCTCTCTAATCTTATCTTCCACTGGAGCTATTCTAACCTTTTCACGTCTATGCTCATTTTATATCATGTCTCTAAGAGCAAAGCCACTCATTGACCTGAGCATCCTCACCTCTACAACTCTTAACTTAATATTATGCTTCTCTTTTAATGGCCAACATTTTGCATCATAAATCATTGCAAGTCTCACCACCATCTTATAGAATTTTCCCTTAAGTTTGAGGGGGACTTTTCTATCACACAAGTAAACAACAAGCCCGATGCATTTCGTCACTTCAACAATCCAACTTAAATTCTACTAATAATATCCCCATCCATTTCACCATCACTCTAAACAATAGACCCAAGATATCTAAAATGTGTACTCTTATTAACCACTTGATCGCCCAAAGTCAAAATCCCCCCACTAGATCTTTTACTACTTAAATTATACTTCATATATTCAATTTTCGATCTACTCAAATGAAAACCTTTAGACTAAGGTTGACCTCCATAATAACCTAAACCCTAATCATGACATCTAAAGTTAATGTTGGTGATTAAAAAAGAAAAATGACTCAAAAGTGTTTCACGTTATTGGGATATCATGGAATCTCAAAGTTAGATTTTATAGACTTGCAATTAGGTTGGCTAAGTTGTATGAAAAGATAGGTACCGGGCAGAAAGAAAAAAAAATCATTGATAGCTAAGTTCAATGTTGAAAAAAAGAGAATGTTAATGTGTGTTTGTAGTAAAATTAGGAATGATAAATAATGATATGATTGTAGTAGAGAGATAGGAGTAGTATCTATTGAAGATAAATAATAAAAAATAAACTTAGGTGCAAATTATACAAAATGAATCCATTAAACAAGTAGATGGAATTAGCATCAAATGATTCAAAAAAAAAAAGGGCAGACGTAAGATAACATGGACATGATTTATTTCAATGAGATTACAAAAATAGGTTTAACACCTCATGCAACATTTTGATAGGATTGACTGTAAAGTGAGGATTCAAAAAGTTGAACCCAAAGAGTAGGGGTATGGTTGATGGTAATAAAGTCAGTTGATTCAAGATACATATACCCCATGCAAGAAAGTTGAAGATTAATACAATCAAAAATTTGGGGGATCCAAAATTTGGGAGAGGGACCCAAATTTTTTATCACAACAAACAAACTCTTTCTAGGATGATAGAAAGACATAAAATACTCAAAACTTGACAAAATATAACTAACAAAATAAAACACAACTTTAATATTATAAAAGGACTTACAAACAATGACTCTTACAAACTTGACTCAAACATGACACCCTAAACTTGCTTTCCAAAAGAAGAAGGATACAGGTGGGGTGGTCACTTGCGGAGAGACGAAAGAGGTTAGAAGCCAAGAAGAAGGGTGGAAAGAACTCGCAAGTCTTTCCTAGAGGAGTTGAGAGGGAGAATGGAACAAGCTCGCAAGCTTTTCCAAGAAGAAACCCGCAGGTTTACATTTCCAAAAATCAATCAAATAACATTCTTAAAAAATCCCAAAACAACTCTATATATAGGCATGAGAGGGGAATACAAACAGCCCCTCATTAATTTAAAAGCTTATTTAAATAGAGAATATGAAAAGCTAACAGCCATTCCAGGAAACGAAGCACCAAGGAACGGGAAAACCACCCAGCACGAAAAACCAGCAGCCAACCGTGGAAACCAAGGAGCCAAGGCACGGAAACAGCCAACCGTGGACACCAAGGAGCCAAGGCACTGAAATCCAAGAGCCAGCCGCAGGAAACCAAGGAGGCAACCGTGGGAACCAAGGAGACAAGACACGGGAACCCAAGAACCATCCACGGAAAATGAATAGACAAGGGGAAGAAGAAGAGACAAAATAATTAGCTACTAATAAATTAATAAATGATCTAAAAAACATAGCTCATAATGAGCTAACTCTTAGTTCAATAAATGAACTAAAAATCAGATCATAATGAGCTAAATCTTAGCTCAAAAATTAATGAGCTAGCAAGCTCAAGGGAAGTCAAAACCAAAATTTTTTGGGTTTGATTTGACCCCCCCCCCCTGTCTACATCAAAGATGGATTTCCACAATACTTGTGTTGTGTCGGTCTCTTGCGAGACTTACATCTAAAAGTACGTCGAAGTATGTTGATCACCATCTCCTAAATAAAATTGTCAATATCGACATTGATAATTTTTCCTTCTACATTATATAAATGGCTTCTTTCATTTTAAAGAGAATATGGATCGTGTTATGTAATAAAAACTGGATAAATATTAGGGGATGTGCAATCTATTAATGTTTGTAGTTGTGTTAGATCCTTATTTGAAAATTAAGTTCATTATTTTCACATTTCCAAAGATATATTCATATTTTTTAGCTGGATTCTAATGATTAAATAGTTCAAGATGTTTTTTTGGGAAATATATGCATTGTATATTAATGATTTTGCCTGGGTTTTGTAATGGATGGATCACACGAAGAATGCTCTTCAACAGCCGCCAACTCTAGTTTTTGTCTTAATTTTATTGTTTGGTAGTGTTCAAGGATTATGTTGTCTCATTTGGGTCAATGCAATCATCCAAGCATGCCTAAAAGGTTTATCTTGAAGAAGCTTTATTTGTGTGCAACATTGACCACTTTGATATTTTTTAATGGTGAAAATTGATTACCATTAAGAACCACTATTTGTCTAAAATACCCTAAGATATTTTTTCAATTCATATGACTAAAAGTACATCAAAGTCTACTTTTAGTATTGAGGGTAGAGTGGTTAATGATAATAAGAACTGTTTATATGCTAAAATGATTAATGATTTAGTTTATCCAGCAAATTGGATTAGAAAAAAGTTTTTTTTTAAAAAAAAAGCTAAAACTCCATTGATAATCTCCATTAATTTAAGTTTTTAAGATGTATTATTATTCTTGGTCATTCTATATTTGATTATTGTCCTTCAATTTTTAAACAACAGTTAATTGAGAAAAATCATAATGTGAGGTTTTTGGGCTATTGATATCGAGTTATGGTTTATGAAGAGTCCTTACTCTTTCATTGTTATTTTTGTATTTATACGGAGTTTGCTGCGGGAATTTTAAACTTCAGTCATTAATTTTTGTTCTGTTTGGGTTTGATGATTTTTAATCTGAGCCTGATCTCCCTACCGAGATTTGAGTGCTTTGATTAAGTGGATTAGGTGGCTTATTATTTGGTGCATAGTAGGAATGCTTTGCCAGTTTGTTTTAGTTGCTTAAATTTTTGGAATAGAGTATTTTAAGTTTTAACTAGTTGGTTTTAGATCATGTTGAGAGGCTATAAGGATTTTTTATGTTGATTATCATGTAGTTAGTTATAATCATATGTATAAAGGTACATAATTTTTTAATTTTAATTCTTGTATAGTTGGTAAGGCAATAGGCATGGCTAGTACAACCCTATAGAGGAGTTAGAAATTCATACTTTAATTTCAGAATTCAATTCTTCAATTAATTATATGCACAAATGGGAAGTATGATCCTTTGAAAGGTAGACTATTGAGTTATGAGGTTCATTAGTATTATTTCTTATGCTTAATCGGCCACCTCAAGTTTTTTTTTTTTTAATAATTTGGAAACTTATTTCACTATACTGGCTAATTATTACTCTAATTAGCCTAATAAGGAAATGATCATGGTATTCATTCTTGCAGGAAGATAGGAACGATTTAGAAAGAATTTGAGATATAGATCTAAGGGTTCGGAAAATAAGGAGCTTGAAAAGGGCTCATTAGGCAACCAAACAAACTAAGAGCACTCGGAGATCTTGTAAATTTGTAATGTAACCAATCAAATGAATAAATTAATTTAGACCATGTCTTTGCAATACTAAATTTGACTTGCAATTTGTTATTATGATTATAAATTTGAATTTCATTATGTATTTTTGTTAATTGTTATATTTCTTTAACATGATAATTTATAAAGTTTATCATATATATGGGTTTATGTATGATTGCTTTTTTAAAAAGTGCTGGTTGAAAAGTTAAAATTTAATGTCATTCAAGCTAAATTCAAAACAAAAACAAGCCGAACAAGCTTGATGAGCCTAAAATAAATAGAACACAAATATAACTTTTGGAACATAGTTGATGTAAGTAGAATTCGAACAAAAAAAATGAAATGAACCGAACACAAACGCAAGCCGAGTTCACTCAAGCTCAACTCGTTACAGCCCTAGTCATGGGGCACATTCAAATCCCAAAATTGACCTTGACCATTCCTAGAGTTACTTTAATGGCATGTGGCACTCACCATCTCACCTCTCCCATACTCCAATTTGCCCGAACTGAACAAAACTGTGATCCGGCCCTAACTCTTAGCCATATCAGTAGCATGCCTCCCTCCACAAAATCACTAGCAACCCCACTATAATGGCACACCATCAAATGATGAAAAACATCCTATCCTTCTTTTTTTACCCATGCTACATCATTGCCCCTGATGATATGGCTGACAGACATTCAGACTTTTGGTTTCTTATTATCCCTCTCAAGCTCATTCACAGATCCTTGACTCTTGCTGATGTGATACCACTCAACATAAGGGTACAATAGGAAAACATAAAAAATAAAATGCACAAACAATTAGAAAAATAAGCTCTGAATCATGGCCATCGATCGGTGATGCACATGTTTGGACTTTGGATCGATGTCCTCATCACTTGCTGACAAAAGAAACAGTTTCATTTTTTTGTGGTTTTTATGGACTCCAATAAATAAAGTATTATTCTTAGACGCTTTGCTCAGCCTCAAATCATATAATTACTTTAAATATATTTAATGACAAAGTCTAGTCCAATTTGGAGGCAATTACAGGAAATCGAAAGAGTTTATGCAGATTGTGCATTGTCTCATGGCTCTCAATACAAGTGCAAATGATTTTGATTCTTAAAATTGGATATCAGGCTTTTGAGTTCCTAGCATAGGAACTAGGTAAACCGCATCAGAATATATGCTAGGTTAAAACAAAAAATAGTCAGACAAGACAATGTAAACATTCTCAACTCAAAGAATATCAAGCTAAAACATGGTTCATCTATGTTAACTAGTTAAGGGGGAAGAGGGATCAGCCTTGGGAGGGTCTTACCCGTTTCAAATTTTGCTACAGAACCTGCTGATAATTCAACAGTAACATATTAAGATAAACAAAACAAAACAATTCAATTCAATTTCCCTCACAAAAATCATAAATTTGCATTGGAGGAATTGATTTCTAGAACATGCTTATTTGAGATAAACTTTATAAGCATTCTCGTATTGTTCAAAATAATGCAATTAGAAAAACCTAGAAAGGGACTTCAACCCCGGAAATCTCAGCAGACAAATCTAGGACTGAGTTCATTTGTCCTAAGTTATAATATTTCTAAAGCTAAAAAAACTAGCGCCAAATTAATAAATAATGAAGAATGGAGGAATACTCACTTGTAAGGAAGTTTAAAGCACTTATCCGGAGGCACATTTTTCTCTCGATCCATTGCATTGGCAAAATCTGCAAAGTCTTTGAGGCATGTTAAGAACAGTGTCATCGCTTTATCGTAGCGAGTGCTCCAAAACAAATTTACAGGACCAAACCTGGCAAAAAAACAGAATAATACTTTTCAGGTTAATAATAGATGTCGTGTTGTTCCTTCCTAAACGACGTGTTGACCAAATAAAAAGTATAATTTCAACAATTGGCTTTACGAAGGCTTTGCCAAAAAGGTAAAAAAACTTACAGTTCATAAGTGTTGTTGTTGCCGTCAACTATTCGAGGATAACTACCCATTGGAATAATTTTGATTACGTATCTAATTAAAGATGTAATCCATAACAGTATCATATATACTCCTACTGTGGGGAATTTATGCAAATTTTTAAAATAGAATAAAAAAATTAATCATAAAAATAAAAAAAAATCAGGTACAAAGCTTAGCAGAATTCCAGGATACTGAAATTTTGACCGAAAATGCTGAGCCATTGTGTGCAGTAATAGGCATGCCTGACCCCAAGCAGCATTGATTTCATCCCACTCAACCTGGTCAGACAACATTATCCACAATAAATACATAGTTATCAAACAACACATCAAGCAAGCATGGTATGCCATGCAAAAACACAGAAACATCTTTCGTAAATTCTTTTTGGGTTGGGGTTTGAAAGGATAATGAAAGAAAACCTTGACAGGAAGGATGAATTCAAATTTAATGGATAGGCATAAGCAATGAACCTAAAAACAAATTAAAGCACTAATAACTCTAAAGTTAGCTGTGGCAATACATCCATGAAAAATTTTGAAACACTCTATTATCTAGCAAACATGGACCAAGCAGTATTACTTTATTTCAACCAAATCACATGATCAGAATGAAACACATGAAACAATGTGCTTGAAGAACAATCTTTTGTGGAGTGAAGATAGGACAACAATGTATGGATAAAAAATATATTTTAGACTAGTAAGCGCTATTTAATAAGCTCAAGTAAAAGAGCATGCCGAAAAGAACTTCAATGTTAAGGTTTTAAAAGGAGGTTCACAGGAAGTATTAAGGGTGTAAATAAGTTGAGCAACCTTAAGTCACATCTAATTTGAGCTAAGTTTGTCCAATCAACAGTGGGCTCGAACTCAAGCTCGAGCTCGAGTTGAGTTTGTTTATTGAGCTTGGGCCCAACTCATTAAAATAAACGCAAGCCCAAGCTTGACTCGTTAACTCGAGTTCGTTAGAGAAGCTCGTCGACACTAGAGAAGCCCGCCGGAGAGGCATTGAGCGAGGGCTCACTGGAGAAGAAGTTAGGGATAAACGGACCGAGAAAGTCGTGCGATGGAGCTCATAATCGATGGGGAAGAAGTGTAGCCATTTTTTCATCCCAAAAAAAGAAACTTAAAGTTGTTGTATAGCTTTTATGACAAAAAAAAAAACAGTTTTAGGATAGAAGAAATTGCAACTTTTACAACAGCAGCAACTATACCACTTTCAAATTTTTTTTTTAAATAAAAGAATGCATTTAATGATAGCAAATGGGACATCCATTAACTCTTTTTTTAATGCAAGAAATGACGATAGATAATTATATCTAGTTTTTAGTTTTTTTATATATTTTAAATTTTATTTTAAAAAACACAAGGCGGGTCGAAAGCCAACAAGCCGAGTTTTGTCAAACTCAAACTCGAGCTCGTGACTCGATAAGCTCGACTCACAAGCTCGTTAAAGAATCGAGTTCCAACCGACTCCACTCCTTTACACCCCCTAGGAACCATTATGCAACAATGGGCACACAAAACAAGTAAACCAAAAGGTTTGCTTATTTTTAAGCTAAAATACCGGTGTCATAGGGAGACGACCAAGTCGAAAGTTGTTGATGGTGCCAAATTCCCCATCATGCCATATAGGGAAGGCATCAGTCAACACATTGGTCCGCTTCAGCAACTCCAGGTGTGCTTGAAAAACTTCTATCTTAGCCAAAATTGCATCGCCCTCCTCCTGCCATTTAAAAAAATGAATACTTAGATCTGAAATTGCACAAAGAAATATGAAAATTAAGAAAGCGAAAGATAAACTACATAACAATACAATATCTAGGATTGCCTTTCATATCACTGAAAATAGCTCTATTCGAACAAACAACCCTATATTGTCTCATGCAAAGGTAATTGAGACTTAGAGCCTGCACTATCAAAAATAAACTTGCATGTACGATCGATAGGTATTTGGGTATAATTTTAGAAATTGGTGGCGCATTTTTGTGAGTTGCATTCTATGGAAAGCACTTCTTTTTACCTACCACAAAGTCTTATGAAGTAAAGGCAGTTGCATTTAGTTTATCATATCCATGAAAAGCGGTTCATTAGCTTGAATGTATTGGGGTGCATTTGAAGCAGCTGCAGGGTCTAGCCCGCCACAGCATTCTTCATACCCGAAGGATCACTAGCAAAACAATGGCATCGGCAAGAAACTAATTAAGACATTCGTTATGAACAGAAGTAGAACAGAAACTGCACTAAGAAAATGCTTTCTATTGCAAAAAACTAAAGCTAATGAACAATTGCCGAATTACTGCTCACAAGTTTTCAATATTCAAGTTGTTTTTTCTCTCACTTTAATTAACTTCAACCAGACGAATAAACTCAATTAAATGATAATAAGGAGAGTTCGGGGACTTGGAGAGTTGCATGAAATTGTATCCTGTCTAGTGAATTTGGGATAAAACTATCAAGAAAAGAAAATCATGATAGTTAGAAAGACAATTGAATTGCAGTTCTACCAAAAAGTACATCACAAATTATTAAATGATAATATCAATGGAATTTACCTGATGTGACGCCAACTGGAACTGGAAGTTATTGTACTCATGCCAATACCTAATAGAGGAAAGTAGAGTCAGCATGGCAGAGGGATATTTCTTACAGGAAAAGTAGACTAAATAAAACATAGTTTGTGGAATCATCCATTGTAAGCCTCTGGGAAACTAAGCAGTGACTCCTCATTGCATGATCCTTACACAAAAAAAAAAAATGCACACTCATAGAACTGCAAATGAACCGAGCATTTAACAAGCACAGGCTACTCATGGCTCGGTTTGATAAGAACTTGTTCATGTTCACCCGATTAACTAATTGAATAAGCTTGAACTCTTTCATAAACACTCGTTAAACAAACAAGTTTGAATAGTGTTAAGTGGCAACAGATTTTATTGGATTCTAGCATAGTACAAAAATATTGTGAAACTTGGTCTAGAAATCATGTAGAACAATCTACAAACATCAATACAAATATCAACGTCTATCAAAAAAGAAGAAGAAATCAAAATCATTCCCAAACAGCACAAAAAGTACCTCCACTGCAGCAACACAATAGCTCTGCCCATCCTTCAGAAATTGGTCCGCCCAGCTTCAGCCAATAAAGCCTAAAATCTGCACCGGTTCAACTTTCTTGGTCCGTGTGGGTCTAGCCAGAAAGCCCAATTTTTATTTTAAATAATTGTTTCTTTTTATTCATACAGTTGTAAATTAAAACTAACCAGTCCACTCCTGTAAAACTAGGCCAGCAAAATAGTTCAAATACCCCAAATTCTGTAATGAAAGGTTACGGAATGAACAACTTATGTTTCTTCCTTCTTCTTCTTCTCTTTGGAGTTGAACTTACTATAATTCTTGACTTGCCAAGAAGCTTATTAAATTGGTGTTCTCGTTAAGGTTTGAACTCAAGCTAACATCCGGGCTTTTGGTTCTTTCTACCTTTCTCACCAATTCATCCTGCAATCCAAGCCAACGAGGTACCAGCATTTGCAGTCAAACCCTCTTATGACGTCGCCCGTCTAGCATTTAGCACTGTCTATGGCAGCAACTATAGAAACTTCAAACCACTTTTCATTACAAGAAACCATAAGGTTCTCCGTTACCATTGTTTTCTTTAAATTGCAACTATTTTTCTCCTCCTAAAAAAAGCCTTCTACTAGTCTTTTTCCTGTTTTTCTACAGGTGCAGGTTCTTGGAATCAAGAACCCCATCTTGATCAGATCGAATCGGTCTCCCTCAAATCTAAACAAACTGCAAATCAAAACAAAGGGGTTCAGCAGGAAAATAATTGGCAAAGACAAATATGTCGATTACATTCAACATCAAGAATGCAGATTTGGTTGAAGCTTTCGTTCAATGCAATCCCATCAAAAATTGTAATTTCCAAAAATTCAAAAATCTCTTTAACAAACTGATGTTCAATTCGATTTCATTGGCCCATATCCCTACAACAATTCCAAGCTTTCATGGACTCCGTCGACAAACAGTTTGACAGCTTGTGCACCAACCATCCACATCCTTCCGTCCATCAAGAACCAACATCTTTCGCCAGCATTCTTGATTCCACCGGCCGAATTCCTTCTCAACAACCGCCACTTTCTCCTGCGGGTTTTTCTTTTCCTAAATCAATAAAAATTGAACTTCCTTGCTTTAATGGATCCAATGTTGAAACATGAATCTTTAAAGCAAATGAATACTTTAATTTTCATAACAATCTTGTGTCATTGTGTTAGAATTACTTCTTTCCATCTTGAAGGTCTTATGGCTACTTAGTATCAATGGTTATGAATAAAAGGTAAATTACTTTTTTGGTCCGATTTTATGTTATCTATGCAACAATGTTTTAGTATTTCTACTAATGAAGATTTACATAAAAATATTTTCAAGCTAACCTAACAAAATTCAATTCTTGAATAGCAAAATTCCTTCAAATATCTTGCTTTCAAGTCCCTAATTTACCTGAATCCACACTCATTAGTCACTTCATTTCCGGATTTAAACAAAAACTACGTCGAAAACTCTTACTTGCGAAACCTACTTCTCTGTTGGATGCAAGGGAATTAGCTCGACGTCGAGAATTTAAAATCCAAGACTTATTCTCTACTTCATCATCCAATTGGCGCCAACTCACCCTTTTTCACTTCCACCCACAAGAATCTGATTCCTAACCCTCCACAACCTTTTGGCCAACCTTCCATTCCTTCTTTGACACCACCCCTTAACAATCTTAAGCCTCCAAATTTTCTAATCTACAAGCTCTCACCGGATGAAATTCAATTTAGGCATGAAAAATATCTTTGTTTTAATTGTGATGTTAAATTTGATCCACAACATTGAGGACCTAATTAATTCTATTTTTTACATGGCACAGACAACCAAGATTTTATCGATGACCCTCTCTTCCACTAATAACAATGAAAATAAAGATTCGACGCCTGAAATTAGCATAAATGCGTTAGCCGACCAATTTAATCCTCTTCTTTTCTATTAACCAACCCCATTAACCAAGAAAACGCCAACATATTAATTGATAGTGATAGCAATGTTTAAAAGGTGATATAAAAAATCGAGACATTTTGTCTAAACAAGGCGAGGCGTAAGCCTCGAGGTGGAGCGAGAAGTAAGCCTTAAAAAAAAATAAAGTACTTAAAAATTTATAAATAATTCACAAGAATGGCATAATATTAAGCAAATTATAAAGATAACGACTTATTTGAAGATAAATATTACTGGAACACAATATTCAAAAAATACTCGCTTAAAATTTAAACACGCCCTTAAGATCAAGACCCAAGATAGTCTAATCGTCATTTTGATAGTCTTAAGAAGAATCGTCATAATTTATGTCAACTCATGATAATGAACAAGCTTGTAAAGTAACTCATGACCAGCTCAATAGAAAGCTCAATTAAGTCTCAATAAAATACTTGCTGTTAAGGCTCAATATGAAGCTCGATTGTATAAATATATATAGATATATACATAGTATAAATATTTTGATATATGAAATAATTCCATTATATGCATATAACACATTTAACACTAAATTAACATATATATAATTGACTTATAACCCAATATAAAATTGCAACTAAAAAATATAATTAAAACTTATTTAAATTAAAATTACTTTATTTATTTAAAAATATATAAAAGTCTAAATATTATTAACTAAATAGACAAATATATAGTACATGAGCCTGTGTATATTGCAAGATAATTTTGATACTAATAAAAATATTAGTTAGCTCATAATAAAATTTCTACTAAAGAAATTCTACCCATAAATATTTCCAAAAAAAAATTTATGAAATTGTTTGGGCCTTAACTTCTCCCTATTTCGGTTGGGTTACATCAAGGATCAGCCTTAAGCCCATATCTTTTTGCTTTAGTCATGGATGTTCTCACTAGACATTTGCAAGAGGATGTACCTTGGTGTATGCTTTTTGCTGATGATATTCTTCTTGTTGACAAGACTAGAGAGGGAGTTGAAGGTAAACTTGAGTTATGGAATAGGGGTAGACCTAAAAAGTCTTGGTTAGAAAATATTAGGAATGACCTTTCTTTATTAGATTTAAACAAGAATTTGACTTTTAATAGGACACTATGGAGAAAAAGGATTCATGTAGCCGACCTCACGTAGTGGGATAAAGGCTTGATGTTGTTGTTGTTGTTGTTGTTTGGGCCTTAACTTCTAAAGATGCAGTTATACCACCAAAAATATAGTGTCGCATCTTGTTGTGGTAAAGGTTAGTATTATTTAAATAGAAAGAAAGAAAAAAGCTTGCTCCAAATTTTGAAGTGCCTCGGACATTCAAAACAATTGAGAGGTATTTTATATTTTATTTCAAAAAGAAATAAATGCAGGGCCTAGCTCCATCCTGATTCGAAGTGACAAACACTTCATTTTTGCATGGCTCAAGTCAATAAGCTCATGACAAGCTCTTTCGCAAATTGTAGCTTAGCTCAATTATCTCGACTCATTTGTAAATTTGGGCTTGGCTCGATTAGCAAAGAATAAGCTATTATTAGCTCAGCATGAGAAGAGCTTGTTTGCATTTCTAAACGAGTTGCTTGTCTAAAACTCAATAATTATTAAATGAACCAAACTCAAACCAAATTGGAACAAGCCTAAATTCATGGAACAAGCCTAAATTCATGGAACAAGCCTGAATCCAAACAACCCAAGCTTGAATACTCTTGTAAAAGCTTGAATGATCTCAAGCCGAGCTCCAACAGGCTTCTGGTAAATGAACTCGAGCTCGAACAACATCCTATTTGGCTCGACACAATTTGTTTGCAACCCTACACACACCCACACAAACATAGCTCCACAAAAGCAAAATGATAAGGCTTGCATTATAACATATCAATATGAGTTTTCAATCATTCAATTCATAGCATAACCTCTACCAATTTCTTGAGTCGGCAATGGAAGTATTAAAAAGATTTCCTCTATTCTTGAATGGAAATATTTCCATAAATAAACCCAAACAGAATCCTAACCGAGAAATAATGTAGCACTTGTTACAGCAAACAGCTAACATATTACTCATAACATTGACTAAGCACATAAAGAGACGTCATAACCAGGATGAATTAAAACTAGAAGATGGTCGGCAATAAATATGATGATCAAGAAAAATCAGAGATGAGGATGCTCAAATGGATGAGTGGCTTTACTGTTAGAGACAGGATACGAAATGAGCATAAACGTGAAAAGAATGGAGTGGCTCCAGTGAAAGATAAGATTATAGAGAGTCGCCTTAGGAGTGGTCACATAAAACGACGGCCTTCTGATGACCCAATTAGGAGAATAGATGAATTAGATTTGGCTTATGTTAAGAAAGGTAGAGGTAGACTTAAAAAGACTTTGTTGGAAATATTAGAAATGACATTTATTTATTAGAGTTAAATGAGAATTTAACTCTTAATATAACACAATGGAGAAAAAGGATTCATGTAGCCAACCCCACGCGGTGGGATAAAGGCTTGATGTTGTTGTTATTGCTGTAAGGTAAATCTAGTTCACTTGGAAATTCATAGCTGCTCCCACCCGCTCTTGTTAAATTTTGCAGTGCTCTTATACCAAGAAGCCGATATAGACAAATTGGAAAGCAACGATCCTTTACCACAGTAACACAATAAGCAAGGAACCTCACCTTTCTTCTAGTTCTTTAAAGAGCTTTGATTTTGATTCTAACTCTTTCTTCTGAGCTTTAACTTCAGCAAACTGCCGCTCAGTATCTTCAACTGCAGCTTGCAGTCGTCTCTCTTCTTCTTCATTCTTACAAGAAATTTAATAGAAAGTCACCAGATTACATTTCATATACATGAAATAAAATAAGAAAATACATAAAAATTTATTATTCTTTGTGGTATAGTCTAATAAAGTTTTATTTTCATTAGAAGATGCAACGTTGACCAAAACAATAAGTGCATTTTTTGGAGCCGATACCTGAAAATTAGAAAGATAAAATGGGGGTGAAATATGTCATAGAAAAACCCCTTCATGCCCTTTTTTTAAAAGCAACAGTTCGCAAAGCCTAATAAAATACAATAAAAGAAGATCCCATAATGAAAGTCTGAAGCCCTAGCATCAATGCCTTATCAAAAAGTCTATCTTGGCATATGCTAGGTGAGTGCCAAACTTGCAAGCCTCCCCTCTTGCATCATAAATGTTGCAATACTATGAAACGATGATTCAAAAGGTAACATACTTATGTACATATTAGTACAAAGATTAATTATAAACTTATATAAACAGATCCAAATTGCTTGCATATTTTATTCTGCTAAAACTTTCACACTTGCTAATTTCTTAGATCGGCCAATTTAGATGATTCCTCCTGAAACAATGTTAGAAGTAACATTGTTGGTCAAAACGATGATTTCTTTTCACTTATTTTTTATATGAAAATGAACTCATTACATTTGAGGAAGTTTTAGAAGGTTTACTATAATTAAATTCAACCAAATGGTGGATTTAACAATTTTTGCCATTTTTTAAAACACATTTTCAAGCTTTGAGCAATTAAATTAGTCCTAAAAATGAAAAAGGGGATGTCTCATCCATCCTATTCAACTTTAAAAAGATAGCTATTGACAAGTGATATTGATTAACTTAGGAAATCTCCCAATTCATTCCTACCAGAAAAAATGTTTTTTTATGTGTGCACACAGAACAATTAGCTAAGAAGAAAAGCCAAATGTCATCGATTAATTTCAAATAAACCTCCCAATCATTACTACCTGGAAACATTTGTTTAAGGTGAATGCAAATCACTTGGCTAACCAGAAAAGCAAATTATGGAATGCACACCTTTACTTTCTCATTGAGAAAATCAGCATCGTTAAGGATGTCATAAGATTCCAACTCAGAACGCTGGAGGCATGCATCATACGCTTTAATGTCCATATTCATATCTTCAACCTCTTTGTCAAGTTTATCCGATAAAACACGCATGCATTCCAAACAGACAGGCTGATCAACCTAAAGATCTCACAGCACATGAAAAAAAAGTCAAAAAAAAGGTAGCCCAAGTAAAAAAAAAATTATTTAAAAAGGATAAAGCATACAGTCCAAAATTTGTATCTATCAACGAGAGATTCAAAAAAGCAATGCTAACATGTCCACAAAAAATTCTAAAAAGTTTATGGTTTCTTTTTCCGCTTAATGAGGATGAAAACAAGGAGAAAACAGTAAATTAACTCCATTTGAATACAATTTCATCTTTAAACTAAAGAAGCATTGCTCAATTCAAAAATCAGGTATGAAATTAAAGCTTACAAAATAAAAATAAAAATAAAAATAAAAAACAAACCAGAAGGTTGAAAATAATGTTAAAGAACTAAATACAGAAACAAATAGTTTTTGTACTTGTGTTTGGGAGGTGGCGATATCAAATGCCCTGTTCAGTGCGGTAATGCTTGTGTGGAATCCAGAATTATTTGGCTGCAAGGGAGAACTATTGCTAACACCAGGAATTGGTAAATGAGCTCCACCTCCCTCTGATGTAGAACCACTACTGTACATAGAAGCTGCAGCAGGTGGTAAAACAACAAATGATTCCTCCATTCCCTTTGCAGAAGGGATTCCCTCAGGCTGAGATAACACACTTTTTGGTCGAGGAGGGATTCCATGGCCTTGAGCCTTGTGTTTCGAAAGAACTACAAATGAATGGTCCATTCGGGTAGACCCCAGCATGCTTCCTTGGATTGAAGAAGCCTGCATACCTATTCGCATTCCCAGAACACAAAATAAGACATACGTAGTCATATTAACAGCACAAACTCCACTTGCCAAACTGACCGCATAGCTATAGTTAAATTAGTACGTGCAACTTTTTTATATAAAATTTCAGTAATCTCGAAATTTCATTAAATGAAACAACAACAATCAGGACCTCAAAATCTATTTATATCATTAGCTGATTAATATAGAACACATTTCTTCTAGTATTTAAAAATGAAGAAGTTATATAATTGTGATAATTATAGAAATCAAACTTGTAAGTCAGCAATGAAGTTATTAGGGAATAATGAAGCATGCGTCATATATCAATTTGATTTTTATCCAAGGAAGACAAACTATGAAAGCAAATTTTCAACCAAGGCAATTAATAAAAATAAATAAAGAACAGAAGTATTTTCATATGATTTTTGTTGATATTAACAAAACAAGTGATCAAGTACCATGATAATTGTTGGAGGGAAATGAGAAGAAGTGATGGGCCCCAAAAATAAGTTTTTTATTAAACATATGTAGAATAGTATTATAAAAAGTTTAGAAGCAGTTAAAGAGTTTTTTTATCATAATAGAATCACATCAAGGATCAATGTTAAGTCTGTAAGTATTTATTAGTACTGGAGATGCTTAAAGAAGAAACTAAAAGTGAGTTAAGTTACCATACGCAATTTACAGATGCCAAAATTTTGATTGCCTTTATATGGCATACTTGCCAAGTTTCACTGTAGTTCAAGAGTTAAAGTGTTGAGGCATATCTATTGAAAATTAAAACAATGGAGAAAATTATTTACTAGTGTTGCGTAGATGAGGATGCTTAGATGGATGAGTGGCTTGACCCTTAGAGATAGGATACGAAATGAGCATATACGTGAAAAGGTTGGAGTAACTCCAGCGGAAGATAAGATTAGAGAGTCGCCTTAGATGGTTTGGTCACATTAAACGAAGGCATCCCGATGACGAAAGTTGAGGTATTAGATTTGACTTATGTTAAGAAAGGTAGAGGTAGAACTAAAAAGACTTGGTTAGAAAATATTAGAAATTATCTTTCTTTATTAGATTTAAATGAGAATTTGACTTTTAACCAGACACAATAGCGAAAAAGGATTCATGCAGCCGACCCCACATAGTGGGACAAAGGCTTGATGTTGTTGTTGTTGTTGTTGGAGAAAATTATTTACTAAAGAATAAAGATAGATTTAGACATATTCATGATATGTAGTATTATGATATGATTTGGAGATCAAATTGGCACCCAAAACAGCCACTAGAACAAATTCAGCACCAAACAGCGAAAAACAGCCACCAAAATCAAGAAAAAAAAAACAATGGTATACAGAAACAACACTAATAAAGTTGAAATAATAACCTCCAATCAAAAGAAATACAAGATACAATTGATTCACTGTTCACAAGGTTTAAAATTGCGTAAATAAGCCTCGAGGCGTTCTTCGTCTGTGAGGCGAGGCGTAAGCCTCGAGGCGATGCGAGGCGTAAGCCTCGAGGCGATGCGAGGCATAAGCCTCACGGACGAAGAATTGCGTAAATGGGAATTTAAGTATTCTAGAAGCTAAATAATAGTAAGAATCTATGATACAATAAAAACATCTAAATGAGAAGTGAACTTAGTGGAAAATAATAAAATAGATGCAATATATGCATCTCATAGCATAATTTAAAGTACAAAATCGCAACTTGAAGTCTATCAAAAGTCAAAACTCCCAAAGTACAAATAAGAAAGAACATATAAAATTCAATCATGTCCCATCACAAAAATTGAATTTCAAATACATGTATGTCTTCTCGCTGCCGCCTACGTCAACCTGTATATTGTACTTCCAAGAAGGGTCCCTCCGCAATGACGTATTTGACTTTTCCATTCCCCTAACCATATTTCCTAATGCACAAATGCAAAATCAAACCAAAAATCTAAAAAAATTTTAAAACCTAAATTTTCTATAACTTGAAAAATCAAACCTTGAATTAAAAAAAAAAACCTAAAACGCATAGTAGAGGTGTTGTATATGGCGGTCAAACTCAAGTTGCTCACCGGAGTGAGGCGGCACTGGCGGGAGAGGCGATGGGAAGGCCGGCTCAGGGAAGCTAGGGCGTGCGGACTACGGCTTACAGAGCTCTTCCGTTCAATTCGGGTAGGCGGAAAGAAGAAAGGCTTTTTTTTTAAGAACTTAAGTGTGTGGGACCCGGCTCCATGAGGCATAAGCCTCACCCAAAATTGCACAATTAAGCCTCTGAGGCGCACCTCAGGATCCATGAGGCGTAAGCCTCACCTAGACCCGAAATTGCTTAAGCAATGAAGCTCTTTGGGATATATTTGCGCAGAGGCACGCCTCTTATTGCGCAGTTTTAAACTATGACTGTTCAAGAGGTGAATCGACTCTTTCTTAATTCCTAGCAGCAACTAGGAACCCAAAACATCCAAGAAAACTACTCAAAAATTTTCCTCACATAAATCCCCCATGCAAATTTCCCCCTTAAAACTAGCCCTAAGCCAATCATAAATGCACCTCACAAGTCCTCCAATGATCTCCCCTTAATCGTTCTCCTCCTATATGTCTAAAAAGAGGTGTTGCGACCCACAAAATAGGAGCCTTTTGGCTCCTGGAATTCCACTGAGCAGGTGGGGTCCACAACCGCATTAATACTCCCCTCCCAAAAAAGCACCTGTCCTCAAGGTGAAAATCAAGGAACTGCCTCTGGATAATGTTGTAGGCTTCCCTCGTCGCCTCATACTCTGGTAGATTCTTCCACTTGATCAACATATCCATGATCCCCTTGTCTCTTTGGCGCACCCCTTGCACCTCCAATGGTAAATAATTTTGTTGATTGTGTTTGATGATCTTATGGTATCCAGCTCACAAGAGTGTTCAATTCTTATTTTTAGAAAAGATATAAACATTAACAAGACAAACACTGTAAACAAAGAAGTTTGTGAAAAAAGCTCAAACTTTATATATAATAGATAATCTATAAACAAAAATCAATCTAGGTTTCCAGGAAAAGTGAAAGACAATTTTACAAGTAAAAATATGAACATTAACTTAATACCAAATAGAACAATGAACAAATGGCCAATTTGTGTGTGGTTTCCTTCTTAGAATAAAATCAAAGTATTCATTAATAAATCCAACATGACAAAATAAGAAAATTTGAATGATTTTTCTAAATAAGAACTGAAAACAAAGTCAACTGAAACTATGAGGAAAAATAAGTGAGAGGAAGCCCTCACCAGATCGAGACGGATCATTAAAGAACTTGTCAGTAAAGGATTCCACGCCAACAACACAAAGAGCATGTCGGCAATTCTGGCATACCCACCTTGGGAGATTTGGATCCACTGGGAAGCTCGTTCCCTTGCCACCTTTGACTTCGTCCTTCATCTCTCTATTCAACTAAGATTATGAGTCCACTTTTGTCACGTGACAAGTGAGATGTCCTAAAAATTGTCAAGCAACCTCTCTTTAGCTTGCAATGGTCACTTACTGAAATTCTTGAGATTAAGGAACTGTATTCTAATTGTGTATGAACAGTTAAGCAAAAGTAATCACATTAAATTATGTAATTCAATAGGTTAAGAGAATTGGCATTCTTTTGCTCTATCTAATAAAGAATCCCAATTTAATAAGTATCGTTTTACGCCTATCTAGGGGCTGTTTGGATGCAGAATTTAGGCCAGAATTTACACAAGATTTGAGCTAAATCCTGCCAAACGCCAAAAAAATGCAAAGTTAAATCTTACGGTAAGTCTAATCTCTACTTCACGGCGTTTTCGCCATTTTTCCCTAAATCCGGGATTTCCTAAATCTGCCTTTTTGGAGAATTTCGTAAATCCGACCGAAGAAGCGCCAGACAAGGGAGAAATATCGTTACCTTCGCGGCGAGCTCCCGGCGCGACTTCCGATCTAACAGGAACAACGTCGGAGGAGCAGGAGGCGGAGAAGCTTCGACTCTTTCGGAACTCTAATTCACGCGAAGCAGAACAGAAACAATAAATGGAGAAAAGGAAAAGCGAACCCTCAGGGGCTGTTTGGTATCGGATTTATCATGGGATTTAAGTCGGATTTACGCTAAATCCAGCCAAACGGTTTTTGTGCGCGCGAAATCCCGGATTTACAGATTTACGGCTTAAATCCCGGATTTACTAAATCCCTCGGTTCGGCAGATTTAACGAGATTTAGCCGAAGAAGCGCGCGAAAGGGAGAAGTTACCTTCACAGCCAGCGAGGTCCCGTTTTTGCTTCCGATCAAAATGTCGTGACTTCCGATCCGACAGGAAGGGAAAGTCGTCTAAGGAGCGAAGTCGAATAGCCACGAAGGAGCCGACGGTGCAATCTATACACCTGCAAAGCAACGAAGCCGAACAGCAACGACGAAAAGAGAAGATGAAAGGTAAACCTTGAGGCGTCTAAGTTATTATTGATTAAATTAATTAATATAATTTGAATTATTAATAATTAAGTAAATTAATTGTATAATTAATGCATAAATTAATTATCTAATTTTAACTAAATTGTAAAATTAGTAATTAAATAGTAATATAATTAGCTTAATAATATAACTTAAAATATATATTATTAAATATATAATTAGTAGTGATACGTCACCAAAAATAGTCTCAATCAAGCACGAATCTCGAGGCAAAATCAAGTTGGAAACTTCCAAAATTAAATCGGAGACCATCTTAATTCCGATTTCAGTAAACTTACAGTCGAACTGAGCGTCTCGAAAACACGAACCCAACGACACCAAATTCAACCCAATCCGAGCCCAAATGGATCCAAATCAAGGACCCGAAGCGCTGTTAGAAGATTCAAATCACAATTTGA